ATATAAATTTAATCTATTAACATCTTATTGGAACTTAATTTTAAAAGAGGATTGTCTTTTTATGTTCCCCTGTAAATAGACTATTCTTCTCTAAAAGAAATCGGTTTTTTTATTGAGGTATTCTAATTATTTAGAAGTTAATTAAAGGATGAGAGAGAAGATTTTGTGGTATTTAAATGTGTAATTCATAGAATATCAACAGTCATACCTTAAAATTTAATACCATTAAATCAAAAATGGACAGCTCCTTTAAAATTTTTAATTGTCAAGTTGGTAAATTTATTTTACAATTAAAATTTTTTATTTAATAGATTAAATAAAATACTATTAATAGAAATGTTATGTTATATGTTTTATTTAGAGGTTAGATATTTAAAATGTGAATTTATATAAATTAATATTAATTAAAATGATGCTTTTAACTTGTACAAAAAAGTATATAAATGACTTAGAGAGACAACTTTCTTCTGAAATAAAGCTCTAATAGGGCGTCAATGGATTAAAACTCCTATTTATTGTTTTGCTTTTGCAGAGATAATAAAAGAAACGTTACATAATCTATGCTTTAAAAAATCCTATAATACATGATTTATTTTTGAAGTTTTTTAATTTTTACTTTAAAAAGCATATATTAAAAGTATTTTTATTATAAATATATATTAAAAATAGTAATTAACATTAATTTGAATATTAATTTAAAAATAATTAATAAATTTAAAATAAATTTATATTTTTAATATAAATTTATAATAAAAAATATATTTATTATACTTTAAAAATATAAATTAAAAATTATTTTTTATGGGATTATCAATAAAAATAAAATAATAATAAGTGAATAAAAAAATTTTATAACGAACTTAAAAGAACCGGTTAACAATTCAGCATTATAATTGTCCTACCACGTGTCATCTTCAAGGGATACAAAAAAGCAATAGCAATTTAGCAATACATTATCTTCACCAAATGACAAAGAGATTGGATTAAAAAATTGGAGAAAAGGAAGGGAACTCCGAATGCAGAAGAAATGGAACCTCATAAGCCCAAAAGTTGTAACATTTCACTGCTTCTAGTCTTGGTAATGTAGAAAATAGAACCTAAATCAACGACAAAA